AGAGGAGCTTACAAGAATGACTGGTTTACCTTGTTATACTAGCTCCTTATGCGCCCACGCTACCATAGGGGCTAAAGCGGCGAGCGCTGAATGAATCCTGGTTCGAGAAGGTCTTAATAAAAATGCAAGTAGACAATATATTAGTTGAGAAAAAGAAGAAAAATGAATACCCTCTCCCTCCCTTCCCCGCCAGAACGTCTCGGGAACTATGAGCTACGATGCACATTCTGTAGATGATCCGCTATTTATGAGCCACCTATTTCGTATTTGAGAATTTGTATCCGGCACAGGAGGCATTAAAAAGAGAATTTTTGAAAAGCGTCTTGTCTCCTTAGCCGCAAACGCATTAATGCATATATCAATGGTTTTTTACCTATACATATCAGGCAATACTACCGTTGTTGCGATTGAATCAAAAGAGACAAGCACTGTGGTGTGGCGTTCACTTAGAATGGCACACACTTTCTGTGAAGGTGACAGTGGTGTCAGAGGGCACAACTACGAGAAAGTTTATCGCAGAAACTTTGTTTTCGAACCCATCGATACCACTAGTTTTCCAATAGGCACGGTTTTGCGGAGCATTGGGTGAGAATGGTCAATTTAGTAGTTAGAGTGTGTCCTACGAAAGTATTTTCAGCAAAGAGTTGCGAAATTAGGCACAAGTTAAGGACATTATGGTAAACGTGGAAATTTGGTCATTTTAAATACTTTTATTACCTTTAATTCATGAACATGGATGATGACACCGGATTGTTCAGAAGTAAGATTGATGAGCCGCCAGCTCGCTGATCACAGCGATGCATTCTTTATTCTTGTTCGACTTCGCATTTCACAATGCTATCCAAAACACTTCGAAAGTATTGCAAGCGATAGTATTGGGTTCGCATGACGAATCACATCATAAGCCACGTTTTCATGCTGAAATTGCCTGCACTGCCCCACATTTTGATGTTATGAATTTTGCCAGACCTTTCAAATGCTCCTTGATTCAAGTACAACAGCCTGTTTCCGCCAATGTAATTCTCGCCACAAGAATCACACCTGATCAGATGGATCATTGCGAAATTTGTGCAGTCACTTGACCTTTCCATAAGACTAGACAACACAACTAGTTGTAGGGCAAATACTTCAGATAACTGCGCAAAAAATGCCTCTTTAAGTTAGGAGGTAGGCGTCTGCACATTTACATCATCCTGCAAACTCACGTGTAGTGAATTGTATCTAGCGACTCTGCTGAGCTCGTACCTTATAAGGCGTGCAAAAGAGGATTGTCGGAATCGAGCAATGCGCGCCTGTTCATAGTGACTATGGCTGGCGCACCTCCTTTATTTGGGCACCCACTCAAAACGGAGATCTCATGTACAGAGAGAAGCAGAGCATTCGGTAATTTTAGGAGATATTTCAATGCATCATATGTAGGTAAGACTTATAACTAAATCAACTTGAACTACATTCTAGTAGCAACCAAGTATTTCATATTAATGACCACCAAGAAAAGAATAATCAAGGCACTCAGCTCGGCCTAACTATCAAAAATTGATATAAGCTAATTTAGTGCATAGATGGCCAAACGATGCAACGGATGCCGTAAAGCACTGAAAGGAGGGTTATTGTTCTAAATGTACTACGTGAATCCGTTAGCTTACCTCCTTCAAATTTTTCAAGATATTGCAAATTTTTCAGCACACTGCTCTTGATTACAACAGATAGCATTGAACACTGGTAAATAAAGCACACATAAACCCATAGAGTACATGAAAGTTCTGAGAAATACTAGTCGAATCATGCAAACAAATAACATTTTTGCTTAAACACGGAAAGATTAATCTTGATGAAATTGATGCTGAGCTTTTTCTGTAACAAGTACATAGAAGATGTCGTCATCTAGCACTCTTGATTCTAATAAAATTATAATCAAGCTCATAACTTCTTTGTCGTCACTAGCCAGAGCCAGACGCTTTCTTTTCAAACAAAGGAAATTAGTCGAGACAATATTACTACTTTCTAGGGTATTGCCGTTATTGAGCTCATAGTCGATTAGCGTAGAAGGTCCTTGTTTGCATTAAAGCATGATTCTCAACGTTTTGAAAGAGATTTTATATCTATATATTTAAATCATTTCTAATTTATTTGCCTGCTAGTCCAGAAACGGATGTTGCCGCACATCAAAATTCAATGAGGTGCTGGATGTATCAGTTGTCTCAACTTGGATTACCTTTATCAATTACTAGCTATCTTTATTGGCCTTGATCGATTACCTTTAGCTAAAACTTGTCATGATAAAATGGGCTGCGGGTCAGTTGGCAGTAAGCAGCGCTCTGCTTTAAAATTTCACTTTCATTTTTTAGCTTTTCCCATACTTACAAGATAAACAAATATGGGAAATTCTGGTAGGATTTTTGAAAAATCAAACAAAAACGACCCTAGCGACCTGAAACAGGCGTAATTAGTAAATTGATCTTCTTAGGTGAGATAGCTATATACGTACTTTCCGCAGTTCGTTAGAGAAGTTAGGGGACGTATTGAGCAGTGAACCCTAAGCACTGCGCCAGCGTAGCTAGCTTAACTTCAACTTCTCTTCGTAAACCTCGAACTCTTAACCGTTGGCAAGACAGTCAAGAACTGAATCCACTGAACTACTCAGACACAAATCTGGGAAGAATTACCATGATCTTAGCCTGTTGCGACAACAAACAATTAACATACAAAAACTATGAGGTATTCGAACATCTGATTTCAGACTAGTAATATCCTGCTCTAACCATTGGACTATCGTCACGTATTTTGAGGCACTTGATGACCGTATCATCCCTAAGCACAAATAAGCGTTTTAAAAAACCCTATAGAGCTACATATCAGGTCCACCAGAATAAACCCTTTGCCATTATGACCAAATTCGATCGCTTTCCTCACTGAGCCATCGGATCACGTCTTTGAAACGATATTCTAAACATTTCCTTTGAGATATCCTATACTTGAAAGGAAAAAGTCTCCAAGCGTACACTGTTGATTGATCTCAGATAACAATAGTATTGGCCAAACGCTCTAACCACTTTGCCAGAGGCGCACAATTAAACGAAGAGGTTTCAGCGCCATCACAGTGGCGTGCAAGCAGGCTCGAAAAAGGAAAACTAGAGTTTTGAAAGCTATGGTCTCGAACCTTTAACCACCAGATTATGAATCAAACGCTCCAACCACTAGGCTACTCTACCACCACGCATATTGATGTGCCAAAACACCAAGACAAATGTCTAAGAATATACGTCGTTTGGGTGCTTTAAAATATTGATACTCTTTTACCTGCTGCTCTTTACCTAAAAAGAGGAACGTGGGACAACTACTTCTTAACGTCTTTTTGTATCATAGAATCATTTTCCACTCGAATTTTACGCTGCAACTTACAGGGTGGTTAGTAAAAAATCATATGACTTTTAGGTGAGCAAATGATTTATGGTTTACTATAAGAAAGTTTACGAGCAGTTCGTCGCAAACGCTTTCATACATTTGGCATGCTTATCAGCTGATTATCGCTATCACCCTATTAATTTGCCATTTGCTCGTTCGCCTACGGATCGCCTGCGAATGAGAGAATACCGCAAAAGATTCTGTTTGGTTTCAAATTGAGACAGCCTATTTTGACAATCACTATAGCCAAATATGGAAACAGTGGACTGCTTATTCCTTTTTGCTTTTCCCTTCGTCGCAAAACACTTTTCAAAAATCTGATGGATA